ATAGGTCCTTCCTCTTCTGTATTCTGCCCCACAAATTCCTTCTGTGTCAGGCTTTTTGGATTCTGATCTTTACCTCCTCAGCTCAGTAAGAGCAGCATGCTATTTGGCTTTCTTTCTCTGTGCTTCAGCCTGGAAATGCACTCAGGCAGTAAGCTGGAGCAGTCATAGTTTCAACTCGTTTGTTTCCTTTCCCTCAGGGATCACAGAGAATCACAGAGTTGATCCAGGATCAACTGCACTATCAGTTTTTTCCAATGTATGAGAACAGTGGTTTCATAAGTTTTGTTCCATTTTCTAGTTATTTAAGGTGGGAGGACTAGTGAGGTCCATCAGGACCCAAAGCATATTCTCACCCTTGATTTTGAGGGATTCTGTTCCTCTTCTAGTCCAGTCCTTTGATTTCTTTTTGACTATTGAAGATCTTCCGTTGGCTCTGAGAATGAGTCTGTCTCTTTCCACTCTGGGAAATGTTCCAGCTAAATTTATGCCCAACCTGAGACATACCTACTGCCCCAGGACTGACCCATATAGTCAGTATCCTCCTGATAATTCTGACAGATGGTACTGGAAAGACATAAGAAACCTCAGCCTAACTCCTTTGGGTGTCTGGGCTCCGTGAGAAACACCCACCAACCCCACATTCCACCAAATCTTGGTGGGGTCCTCTTTTCACGGACCATGTCCCATGGTAAATGTGTCATGTCCCAGTTGAGGTGCCCACCTGCAGAGTGATTCAGACAAAATTAGAGGCATAGCTCAAGATTCTATGGCTATGAGAGGTCAAGGAAGACACATAGACTTGTAATCCAGTCATTGTTGGTGAATTCTAATGAGTGAATGAATCAAGGGCATTAATAGGGAGAAGTAGAACATGTATAGAGTTAGTCTGAAGCCATTCTATGAGATGCTGTCTTAGGCTGGGTTCTCTGAAGAAGCAAACCCAGTGAAGCAAATATATACTCGAACTGCTGACCTTTTGGTTAACAGACATATCACTTAACCACTGTGCCACATATATATATATATATATGTGTATATATATATATAT